CAGAAATGCCTGTGAACAGAATGCTTCCAATTTAGATTTTTATTTTGATTTTGCAATATTTGCATATTTATATATATATAAAAGATAATTGGGGATGGCACCCAAGTCAATACACAAAACTCATGTTTCATATACACATTAAACATATTTAGAAAATCTTACAGAATTTTTAATAACTGGGTAGGAAACAAATTTCATGGTGTGGAATTTTCCACTTGTAGTCTCTATATCTGCACTCAGGAAATTGCTTTTTGGAGAATTTTGGGTTTTAGATTTTCAGCCTAGCTATGCTCAACCTGTAATTTAGTTATCTGACTCCTTTGGTAAATGGCAAGCAACGTGAAGCAGGGATTGCAAAACCCCCAGTGCCAGCACTGTCCCTGACACAGAATAGGAGCTCAATGCTTTGTTGTTGAAAGAATAAATTAATAAATGGATGTTAGTATTGTGGAGCTTTATCTACTAAGTAACAAACTTCCCAGGGTCTGTTACAAACACGATCTTTTTAAAGAATGCCCACTAATTTCTGAATACAATTTTAAAATCAATGGCTGTTACATTTAATGGAATGCATATTTTTTCAACCAATTACCATGATGGCCAGATCTTTTATTTTTTCTGAGATTAATAATAATTCATAAAATGAGGCAAGTGTCTGTATGGTGTTTAAGATACCACTTGAGATGCCTGCATTCCATATCGGAATGCATTGTTCCAGTCATGTCTCCTCCCCTTCCAATTCAGCTTCATGCTAATACATACCCTGGGAGGCAGTACATGGTGGCTCAAGTACCTGGGTCCCTGCCAGCCATGTGGGAGCCTTGGATGGAGTTTTTGGCTCCCAGCTGAGACCTGGCCCAGCCATAGCTCTTGTGGGCATTTGGGGAGTAAGCCAGCAGATGGGAGATTGATCTCTTTCCCTCTGCCTTTCAAATAAAATGAAAATAAAATAACAATTCATAAATGTCTAAGGCACAATGCTACATGGGCCTTGAAGTCAAATGGTAAATATCCAAAAAACCTCCTGAATGTAAAAACACAGGCGAGAATTCTGACCGCTGTATTGATCAGCTGGGTCACAAGATCCTGACCTAACAGATGCCACCACCCCAGGGACAAACTATGGTGGGAGTTGGATGAGAGAGCTCCATCTTGGCCCAAGGAAGCCAAGACTGCCTTGGGGTGGTCCATGTAAGGGTTCAGAGACAATCCTAGACTTGAAGTGACTTGCAAGCCTCACTGTTTAGGCGACCTTTAACAGGCTGTTTCTGTTAAAAGGTGTACATTCCTCAGTGTGAGGAAAGAACAAGGCACATTGGCTTCAATTTTGGATCCTGAGTTTGAGGAAGAAAAACAATATTTACCTACAAATTCAAGGTAACCACTGGGCCAAAGGTATGGCGCAAATGAACCCATCGATAGGCACTCAGATTATTCTTGAACACTGTTACCCCTCAGGCATTAACATTCACTTAGAATTGGTTAAATGGATTAACCCTTAACTTCTTTCTCAAGTCCCTGGTCAAACCACTTGTATAGTATTTGTGTGCAGACTTAAGTGCAAGGCCAGAGAAGTGTGATCTTTATTCAAATGAAATCTGTCTTCCATCTTTCACTCTCCTTTTCTCAGGAAAATTATTTACATTTTTGGAGAAAAGTAGTGTAACCTGTTGAGAGATGGTTCCTCCTTAGTTCTTAAAAGCAATCTTTCAATTTAAAAGGAAGAAAGTTAAGAAACCAGACTAGGGCTGGCATTGTGGCATAATGGATTAAGCTGCTTGTGATGCCCTATCACATATATAGGGGCTGGTTCATGTCCTGGCTGCTCCACTTCAATACAGGGCCCTGCTAATGCGTCTGGGAAAGCAGTGGAAGATGGTCCAACTCCTTGGGCCCCCTGCACCCATGTAGGACAGCCAGATGAAGCTCCTGGCTTTGCCTGGCCCAGCCCTGCAGTAGTGGTCATTTGGGAGGTGAAACAGAAGGTGGAAGCTCTTTCTCTGTTTCTCTCTCTCTCTGTCTCTCCTGCTTTCTTTCTCTGTAAATCTGCCTTTCAAGCAAATACAAATAAATCCTAAAGAAAAAACGGACTTAAGTTGCCATTATTTGCATCCAAAAATTACCCAAATGAGCCTTATAAAAAGATTTTTGTTTCACTGACCATGAAACAATAAAATGACTGCCAGCATGCTATGAGTCCCAGTTAGATTTTGTGACTTCCTAACTGTATAATAACTTTAACAAAATGAGTTTCCTTGCCTGTGACATGAAAAATGGTCATGTGTCAAGGTTCTAGCTACCGTATGAGACACTCTCTCATCTTGTATCATAAGGCCAAACTTTTAGAGTTCAGTAGCTTTTACAAAAAGTACAGGTATTAATAATCACAACTGAAACCAGAAATTAAAGTTGGCCCTCTGAATTCCAAAGCCTTTCTCCTAGCATAACCTGCTTAAAATTCTTGACAGTTAGCTTTATTCAGTGTCAGTGGGCAGGGATTCACTGCTTGGGATTTCCACATCTCATATCACAGTCTCTGGTTTCAAGTCCCAGCTCTGCTTCCATTCTGACTTCCTGTTAATCTACATCCCAGAGGCAACAGATGATGACTTCAGTAATTTGGTGCCTGCCATTCACATGGGAGATTCGGATGGAGTCCCAGGCTCCTGGCTTCAGCCTGCCCCAACCCTAGCTGTTACCAGCATTTGGGGAGTGAACCAACAGAAGATCTCCTTCTCCCCTTCTCCCTCCCCACAACCCCCTTCCTCCCTCCCTCACTCTTTTCCTCTCACTTTCTAGTAAAATACATTATAAGTCTAAAAAAATTTAGTGAGAATGTGTGTCAGTGAAGATAAAAATCAGTTCTAAGATATCCAAAAAGAAGGAAAGAAAACAATGACTACAGATCATTCGCAAGCAAGATTAATCATATCTAATGCATATCACAGCTACCATGTTTTTATAATGTGAGATACTGGTTTCAAGATTATATATCTTTCTGGACAGGTTTTAAGAATAAAGACATAACACCTACAGACACTAAAGAGATACCATATGTTATTGCCCCAAACAAAAAGTCAATTCACAATTTCTTCCTAGATATTTGTCTTTAGAATTTAATGACCTACAACGTACTCTTAACACAGCAGCCTCAAAATGCTCCTGTGAAAGTGATAATGTTTTAAGAATAACAAGTGTGCTTCACCAGGCTACTAACTTACACAAGTTCTCTTCACAAGAGGCTAATACATTTTTTAAAAACTTTAAAAACACAAAAATACATATATATCTTAGCTGCATGAAGCCAATATAATTGACTTTATGTCTAGTTTCATTGGACAATGGAAAAGCCAGCAGTTAAAGGGTAGATAAACTTCCCTTTGTCCCTCTTTTCCTGAGAAACTTTCAAATGTTGAAAATCAATTCCTTTTGTCCCCTTGTTATTCATCTGTTACACATTAGGCAGAAACTCTGGGCATCCAGTGAGTCCCGCAGGGTCTTTCATCTACAGAAAAGCCTGGTATAAATTAAATACTTACTCTCCTTCACAAATGATAGATATGTACTATAGTAGGCCATTGAGTCATCAGTTCATGCCTTTGCAAGTTCAGTGTGGTGAGACTAGCTAATTGTAGTCTTTTTTCTGATGATGCTGTATTAATTAATGTGGAGCATTACTATGTTGTGCTCATATATACAGGGAGTTCAAAACGTTTATGGAAACTAGAATGAAAAAAAGTTCATTTTGGTACCAAAAAAATATTGAAATCCAGGCATTTAAAAGGTGTTCAAATATTTCATAGAAATACATATTAAGAAAAAACTACTGATGGATTTCAAAATTTATGCACCAAAATATGTTCTTCTATTAATTTCATTTTTCTTGAACTTTTTCCAAGTACCTTCATATTTTAATAAGTATTCTGTTAGGGGCCAGGGCAGTGGCAGGATCAGCATCCCATATGGGTGCCTATTCAAGCCCAGGCTGCTCCACTTCTAATCCAGCTCCCTACTAACATGCCTGGGAAGGCAGCAGCAGATGCCCAATCGCTTGGGCCCCTGCACCTAAGTGGGAGACCTGGATGAAACTCTTGGCTTTGGATCATCCCAGCTCTTGCTGTTGTAGCTATCTGGGTAGTGAACCAGCCCTGGCCATTGCAGCCATTTAGGGAATGAGCCAGCAGATGGAAGACCTTTCTCTCTCTCTCTCTCTCTCTCTCTCTCTCTCTTTCTCCCTCTCTCTGTGTAACTGTCTTTCAAATAAACAAAAACCAAAATTAAAAAAAAAAAGTATTCTGTTAGATATAGTGTTTTAGTTACTTCCCAGTTCCTTAAGTCATTTAGGCTACTTGAGAGTACATGCGTTTATGTGTGGGGATAATTACACTGGAATAATACTAAAAATATTACCTCTGACAGCACTTTTATGTTATGAAACGACCATCATAATAGTTATGACAAAAAATGTTGAAATACAGACTTACACAAGGTATCTTGGAAACAGTTGATGCAGAAAACACTGCTTTAGCACTGGCTTTTAAGACTGATAGCTAAGGAAGTAGTTGCAATCCTAGGCACACAATATGTCTTTGGAAACTACAGCATACACAACATGTCCCTATTAAATCTCTTCTATTAGAAGAAAGCCACACACATGCCAGCAGGAGTGCGCAAACACACACACACACACACCAAGTTTTATGTCTCAAAATAGTGCTAGGAACTTAGAATTAAGTTTCATGCTAACCTGTGATTAACCAAACATATTAAAAATCCTTTAAGTCAAAGAGATTTTCCTTTAGTTCTTTAATAAAGAAACAAAAAGTAAGCCATTCTTGGTCAATTCCACGAGCGCCTCAATTTTTCTCATTTTTTTCCCCTAAGATTTGTCGTCTAAAGCCCAATATCTGCTATTATTTGTGATCGCCTGGAATCCAAAACGAATACTCTCATCTCCGAAAAGTCTCCTCTTCCTCTGGAAGCTCCCGCGACCGCCTCACCTCACTCGAGTCCTCCTGCTGATTGATAACCGCCAGCGCGTCCTCCGCGGCCTGCCGCTTGGCCTCGGCCACCGTGCGCTCCATCTTGGCTCGCTCAGTCGTGATCATGTCGTGGGCTTTCCGTTCCGCCTCCGACACAGCCTTCTGCAGCTCGGTCATCGCCTGGCGCTTCACCTCATTGACAGCCTCCTCTGTGTGCCAATCAGGCCAAACAAGACAAGAGGACATCTCGCAGTTAGCAAAGCAGCTGCGGTTCTGATTGCTATACAACCGGCATAGATTCTACACAATCTCATCCAAATGACTGGGCAGTCCAACCAGCAGATCTTCGAAGTTCATTTGGGATAACACAGGATGAGAATTTTTCTATGGCTTATACTTCTGAAAATATGTCTGAAACCCCGCTATCAGAACGCCAACTTTTCTACCTTCAATAATGATTCCAAGACCAGACTAAGCAGTGAAACGCCCATGAGAAACTCAGACACATCGAGACAGCTGCTTTTCATGGCCCCGTGTGCAAATATAAATACAGGAAATCAAATGGGTAAAGTATTCAGAAAGAAGGAACGGAACTGTTCAGACATTTCCACATACATAAATACAAATCATTATTTAGCTGGTTAAAAAAAAAATACAACAGTGAGAAGGCAACCCAGATAGCAACTGAGTTACTATATACCTCCTAAGCAAAATGGATGATGAAACACATGATCCTGTTTTACTTTCTCTGAAGTCATTTCCTGAGTAACACGCCTGCATGCCTTTATAGACTAAATGATAGAGATCTTTCAAAATCACCTTCTGATTTCTAGATTTTAAACTGCAGGCCATTTATGTCATCCAATGTATACAATGGTTTTGCATAACCAACTGTTGCACTAGACCAACATAACTGAATCACACCACACTGGCCAAAACATTCAGGCCTAAAAGCAAATCTGCAAGGTGTCAAATTAGCTCTTTGTTTTTGGCTGCAGATAGGGGGCAAAGATTCAACTAATGTTCAAGGTAAGATTGACAAGTAAAACAAGTAATTTCCATTTAAAAAAATTAACTGTTCTAATTAACAAGGGAAAATATCCTCCCCCTGAATTAGTTTATCTAATTTTCATCTTTATTCAAAGCAAAATGACAATGATTAATTGAAAATTTAATAAGCAGTAATTATTAACTTGGCAAACCTAGTACCAATTAACACTCTATTAAAACTAATTATGACATGTTTCATTCAAGTGTTTGCACTTAATTGTTTCACCCACTTAAAAAGCACCTTAATTAAATGTTCGGTTTAATTAAAAACATAGATTCCTAATAAAAATGTTTTACTGTAGATTAAAAATATAAGGGATGCAAGTCCTTCTATGATTTCTTAAATTTCTATGGTTTGTGTCACACATCCAGAGCCTACGACTTAGGGATCATCAGGAGCGCTCCCCTGGTAATTAGCTGTCATGGCTTTTGTAGCCTCTGTCATTTCCGAAGAACATGGATCTGCAATTAACGGCTGCTAGGTTTTCTAAACTACAATCTAAGGGAAAGATTAGACTGGAAATATTGAGCAGACTATGTGACGCCTCTGTTAGGTGCTTAAAGGCAAGTATTTAAAATCTGGAAGGAATCAGCTATTGCAGACTGGGCTCACAGCCCCTTCAGGAGGAGGGGAAAAGATGCCTTTACTGCCCTCTCAGAAATGACTGGGGCACCAGGGAAGTGCTGCCCTTCGCACCATACAGCCGGGGTCTAATTCCGTTTGAATATTCAAGGTGAATTAAAATTCTATCTAAGTGGTAATACAGGACAATAATTTTTGCTTACGATCAAAGCTGTAGCTTGACTAATTGTATATGCAAATCAGGCAATTTATATTTAAATTATGCATTCCTATTCTAATCCCACAGGCATATACAGATCAGCACAGAGAATTGGTAGGACATTTGCAAGGTGCTTGAATATTTATTACCAACTGCAAACATTCTCTGATCCTTTGAAAAGAAATATAGTGAAGAAAACATTCCGTAGTGATTTTTAAAACCATCTTTATGTTAGATTTTTTTAGTTTTATAAAGACCTGTTGTAATTTTTGAGTGCATTTGATACCTTCGTTGTAGCTTTTGAAAATACTACTTTTACAAGACTGATGTGGCCTTCAATGTCTGTTAGGTCTCTAATCTTTAAAAATGTGTACTGTTATATTATTAGAACATATTACATAGGGTCTATAGATGAAATAATAGTGTTGTATCAGTGTTAATTCCCTGGTTTTGCTGACTGTACTGTGGTTATGTAAAAATGTCCTGGTTCTCAGAAAATCCGCATACTAAAACACTTAGGGAAAAGGGATATTGTGTTTACAACTTACTCTGAAATAGTTAAAGATATCAAGAAAGAAAAGGAGGGAAGAACAGAGAAAAAGAAAAGGAAGGTATTAAATAAATACCATAACATAGGGGGAACAGTGAATGGCATAAGGAAATTTTTATACTATTTTTTGCTAATTTTCTGCAAGTTTGAAATTATTTTAAAGTAAAATGATGCAAAAAATGACGATGTACTTTCAGGCACAGGATATACTTTTTGCAATTATGATTTTTCTGTGGAAAAAGCATGCAAATTTTGAGAGTCCTGCCCCTTTGGTATTTGTCACATGCTTTCAACTTTATGTACTTATCTTTTGTCATAAAGCTAACGTGTAATACTTCCATTACAAAGGTGTACTTCACAGATTTTTTACCCTAAAAAATAAAAAGTGCCCACAGCCAATTTTAGAATGTTAGAAAATAAACTTTCACACTGAAACAAACTGAGTACAGATGTCACACTCTGCCCTTAGTGTTTTCTTCATGTTGGGTGCCTTAACACTGCAGACACCAGCAATGCCTTTTAAGAAGCCTAGACAGACACATGTTATAAGTAGTTACTGAAGATTTCCAGGTGAAATTGCCACATGTACTTTAGGAATATAACATATTCCTTAGAATCTAGCATTCATCCTAAGAAAACTATGCCCAACTTAATCAGCATCACTACCAAGTCATATTTTAGAATGAAGACCTAATAAAGGTGATGGACACATCTAAAAAATAGTTCAAACATTAGTCTGGTAAGGTTTAACCCTTCATAGAGAGTGTCCCTAGATACAACACAAATATGTATTATTCATTTTTACTCCCTAAGTCCCCATACCTAAAGTAAATCCAGAATTAGATTAAAAAAACCTGCCAAGACAGACAGCAAAGAAAAATAATGGTGGATTCAATAGATTACAACACATCAAGTAGAAAGAAAAAACACACAACTGAGTAAGTGGAAAATACATAGTGCAGTTTTGAATCTGCTTCCAATTGCTTGCCACTTATGGTAGGACTTCCTTTGTGCATAGCTATTCAAGTTGACTTTCCAACTAAGGTGGTATATTCAGGAAAAAAAATCTGCTCTCACTGAATAGCAGTCAAACAAAGACTTGAGCAGATAATAGCATAGAAGGAATTTGGATTACACAAGACCTTCCTGTCAATTTTTCTTTAAGAACTACCAAGAATTTAACTTAAATACACATAAGTAAGGGGAATGCAGAGAAAGACTCCCTCCTCAACATACAAAGTCAGACTTTTGCTGTCCAAAATGACAAGTCTGTACCTCTTCCTGGAATAAGCTGCAGTGGCAGCTTAACAGAGGGGATCAAAATGGTCAGGAGGAGGATGCAGTACCTCCTTTTCAGTCAGTAGCACCCAGCATATTTCTAACAGTTTGGAAATATCACACGGCTTCCATCATAAACCTGCTAATACTAGGTAGCTGAGCAACATACATATTTTAACTTTTAAGGTGAATGGATCTATCTGATTTACACACATTGGTCATGCAAGCGAGCTCTCTGGTTTTTAATCTAAACTACTAAACCTAAGATACTATCGGATTTTGAAACACACTGTCACTCAGAAAAACAGATATTTCTTAGAAAAAAAATCTATAAAAATACTCGGATAAGATACAAATGGCCAGCGATTCAGCATGTTGCATAGAACTACAAACACAGCTGCATCAAATCAAAAGTCAAAGAGAAATAAATCTTTTGTGGAAAAAACAACAAAAAAGCATTCCCTTGACTCTTTGATTAGTGTTGCCCGCCCTATACACATTTGATTATTTGCAGAAACAGCGTTTCCCTATTTCACAACTCGAACACACACACTATTTTAACAGTTGGAGTTACAGCAGCTTGAAGCCACGGTGTATCTTTCATGTCAACTTTATTTCTTTGAAACAGTCTAATGCTTTATCTCCTGAGTTGGTTTTTATACAGGTTTTTGCTCAGCTGGCGTTCCACCAAGATTAAGAAGATTGGAACTTCTTAAATCCAATAACAAGCTAATGGGTCATCAGGAAGTTTAAATCTCCAAAATGAAGAGCAATAGCTCTCCATGGAAAGTAACGTATCTGGAAAATAAAACTAGATGTTTAGCAACTTTGTCATTTAACTTAAAAAGTAATTTAGCTCTGAGCACTGAATATTAATTAGCACAGAATAATAATTTTAAAAGTTAATTGTAATCAAGAAATTCTTTGAGAGGCTTAACAGGTCAACAAGATTAGATGTGATTTTTAGTTGTTGTTGAGAAAGTAGAGGACAAGGCTGAAGTGCGCATTTTAATTCCAAAACATGTTCTCAATCAAATAAAAATCGCACATGTACCAAGACCTCCTATACCAAATTTCAGCCTGAAGCCTTGAAAAAATGGAGGTTCGGCCCCTGAAAAATGGAGGTTCAACATCGAAATAATGCCAGCTTCTCGATTATCATGCGGCTAGCAGATGCTGCTAAAATCAAAATGATTTCATGTCTAATCAGGCCTGGCTTAAGCATATTAATCAGAGTTTTTTCTGGTTTTGTTTTGTGGGGTTTTTTGTTTTGTTTTGGCTGTTGTTGTTGTTGTTGTTCGCAGTGAAGTCCTTTCTTGTCATTCCTCACATCACTGCATTAACAACTGCACACAGCTGCCAGACACTAAACTCGTGTTTTTAAACAGTTCTTACCAGCTTTCTTCCAGATCTCCTCTGGCACGTATCCAGACGCAGGCCTGTGAAGGAATTCCCGATGCGCATCTAGGAAGAGGAGACAGGAGGAGTTATGAGCACACTTTTGTCATTACACACAGCGGAAGGCAGCAATACCTATTCTCTTGGCTTTTCTGCAGAAACATGATTTTAAAGGGCTGAACATTCACTTCTGGAAAACACACAAAAATAGTAAGGCTAATCATCAGAGCCCAAGGAAAACAGAAGGTCATTTGTCTAAATGCCTTGCATGCTCAGAGCCAAAGTGACTTTAAATATTTCATTATACAGTACAATGTTTGGGAACACTGTTCCCAGGGCTCTCTCACTCTGGGAATTTCTATGGCTATTTTACTTTGTTAAAGAAAATAAATTGTATTTGGTATTTTCCTTTCCAGAGTCAAATTAGCAGTTAGAAAATCAAATGTTTAGGCAATGTAATTTCCACAGAGCTCTGATTTTACTACGTTTCAATAAGCAGTGAGCCCTCCTCTCTGGCTAACCAGTTCTCACAGCCTGTCCCTGGTGACTTGATACTGCTATCTCCCACATCCCCCTCTGCTCTATGAAAAGAAAGGTGTATGAGCATCTCAGCCTCACTGTCACTCCTATGACAGCCCCTGAGTATATAAATAAATGTGTTTTTCCTTTTTCATAAAAAAACAGTGAACATTAAAATTTCTCATAAATAAATTTCTCATAAATTGACATAGGTGGAAGCAGAAACTCAGAATGGATTCACTGACAATCAGTAGAATTAGTATGTGCTTTCCAGAAAAGCAAATGAAGATCCATCTTGAATTAAACACTGCACTCATTATGCTTGTCAGATTTTAAAAGTTTGGGAAAACAACTAATAATGAAGTTGATATAGGAATATTAACTTTCAAAGTAACATGTTCATGGAAATGAGATGAAGCATTTTATACTTTTAGATATAATTGAAAAGAAAATTATGCAGTTGTCCATTGCTAAAATATTTAAGCTGTCACCTGTGAAGCTGGTATCCCAAACAGGCATGCCAGTTCAAGTCCCAGCTATTCTGCTCCAGTTCAGCTTTTTGCTAATGTAGCTGCAGAGACAGCAAAGGATTGCCCACGTACTTGGGCCTCTGCCACCCACATAGGAGACCTGAATGAAGTTCTGGCTTCTGGCTTCATCCTGGTCCAGAAATAGCTGCTGCAGGTATTTGGCAAGTGAACCAGAGGATGGATGATCATTACCCTCTCCCACCCCCAGCTTTCCCTCTCTGTGTTGCTCTACCTTTAAAATAAATAAATAAATCTTTAAAAAATAAAATATGCACTGCATGTCTTCCATATTGGACAAAAGCCTACATATTTAGAAGTTACAGGGAAGAAATTATTTTGTCCCTTATGAAATACAATAATCATTTAATCCATGATAAATGCTGAGTAAAATTAAAATTTTCTCTACATGAACAAGAAATGCCAAATAGTAGACTGTGGGGAGCAACTGGGAGCAACTCAGACTAGACTAAGTTACTGGAATTAAGACTTATTCTATGCATCTGCTCTCCCACAATATGGCTCTGGGAGAGGAGAAAACAGCTTCTACACAGCTGCCTCCAGTTCAACCAATAAACTGTAGGACCTGCTCCTGATTGGAGGAGAGCAGCGTACTCGGCGTGTGGGTAGCAGAGTTGGGATTGGTGGAAGAGGACTATAAAGGAGGAGAGAGACAACATGCACCGGGAACATCTATCTGAAGGAACACCTGTGCAGCCCCCGAGAGAGCCGGCGGGCGGTGTGCCGCTCCCCCGTGGAAGTGGGGAAAAGTGGCAGGGGGAACCGCCCTTCCACGGAGGTGGAAGGGTCGGTAGCCAACCCGGGAAGAACCAGCAGCAAACCCGGGGAGGGCCAAGCAGACAAAAGAACAGCGCAGGGTCCTGTGTCGTTCCTCCACGAAGAGGGGGAGCGACATAATGGTGCTGTGACTCGGATAGGAAACCTAGGCAGGGTTTAGTGTCGTTCCTCCATGAAGAGGGGGAGCGACAGTAGACTGATTTTTTTTTTAAATAATTCTTTAATGATATATTGAAAGCTGAAGAAATTCAGTAATTGGGAGTGTGGAGAACAGCTTTACATATATAAGTCTGAGTTACAAGTTCATGTCTAGCATTTTTGTTCATTCTAAACTCAACTGAAACAAAGATTGGTGCACTAATACAGATTTTATCATACTTGTTTAGTGACAGGGGCTGATGCTGTGGTGTAGAAGGTTAAGCTGCCACTTACAATGCCAGCATCCCCTATGGGTACTAGCTGGAGTTCCAGCTGCTCCACTTCCGATTCAGCTCCCTGCTAATGTGCCTGGGAAGACAACAGAAGATGACCCAAGACCTTGGGCCCTAGAATCCTCGTGGGAGTCCTGGAAGAAGCTCCTGGCTCCTGGCTTCAATCTGGCCCAGCCCTGGCTGTTGTGGCCACTTGGGGGAGTGAACTAGCTGATGGAAGATCTCTTTCTTTCCCTTTCTCTCCCTCTCTCTCTCTCCCTCTTTCTGTCTCTTTGTATTTCTGCCTTTCAAATAAATAAATGTGAAAAAATAATAATAATAGATCAGGAAATTTTTATTCTTATTTAATTGCCATGTTATAGAAGTATAGAAATTCTAGCATAACATGTAGCTAAGATGAATGTGGGGACTGGATATGGAACAGTAAGATTATGGGGTCATTTCGTAGAAGGAACTATTTAGAACTAAGAAACTGGCATGGTAGAGAAACTATGAAAGGATAAAAAGCAAAGGAAGATGGAATGATCAGAGAAGGTAAAGAAGAGAAGTTGTTGGGACTATAATTGATACAATTATCCTGAGAAATGATTTTGCGAAAAATAATAATTTGAATATGTGTATGCTCTATGACACAAAATTTCTACTGCTAGTTGTAAGGAATATGAGTTGGAAGATATGCCTAGTCTTGTAATTAATTATTCTATTAATAGGGAACTTGATTAAAAACAATAAGATCATACAGTGAAAAAATTAAAGCTTTAAAAAATTTATAGATAATGGATTACTGTTTATATGTATGTACATATGTTCATGTTATGTAAGTATAAACAACATAAATAAATAACAACTTTGTACATAGGAAAAAAAAAGAAATTCAGCCATCTTTTATATTTTGTAGCACTACAGAATACCAAAGTTAAGAAACTAAAATATATTTACTTACATGTATACCATTGTATTTTAATACTTTAAATGCATTTGAATACCTTGAATCCTTGTAGAATGTAGAGATTATCAGATGGACAGAACAATAATGTTGCCCAACTATGCTGAATTAACAAAAGTTTATACTACATATTGGTGAAGTATACATGAAAACTTGCTGTTTTCTCTTTGTAATGTTTCTTTATATCTAAAATAATTTCAAATATAAAAAGTTTATTTTTAAAAGGTTATACTGTGATCTTTTGATTATATAATATCAAATGGATTGGAAATATCCATGCAGTCTCCTGAGCACACTCATTTCTATAAAATACATGACAAAACCAAAATGCTTGCATGAAGTAATTCTCATTCTTAAAACAAAGAAAGCTAGATAAAACTGTGTGGTGCACATATTACTTAAAGGAAATGTGATATAGCTAATTAGATTTTTTAAGATTACCTTCCATGCCACTCTATTTCCAGAAGAAATAAAGAAAATGCAATCAAGTTGACATTTAACCTGTGGTACAGTGAAACAGACAGACTTACTTATGACAACTTTCAAAGAATTTTTAAGGAAAGAAGACTTTAAGAATAATTTATTGCATAAAAATAGATCTGCAAATTCTTGAGGCAGAAAAACATGCTTTCTCCAATGTAAAATTTTTTTTCATATATTGGTTTAAAAAGACAGCAATAGTTTGATAAAAAATAATTTTTGATAAATGGCCAATCATTATTGTAAGGAACAGATCTAAAAGCAGAAGACAGTTCTAGAGCCCAGTAGAGCTGAATCTTGGCTTTGCCAACTATAGGACATGCGATGTCAGGCAAATTAGTTTCTCCATGTCTCAGTTATCCCATCCATAAGTGAGATCAATACTCTAATTGGGGACCACTGAGGATTGAAGCAGGTCCTATCTATTACATGCTTAACAAGGCACATCCTAAACACTCTTTTTTGACATTACTTGAAATTATCCTGATTATTCTTATCATCATTATTATTTCAATAGGCTGTTAGGTAAGAATGGATATATATGCTTATTTTATTACAAATAATAAGGTGAAAAAATAATTTAAACATATTTTTGCTAGCACTTAACTCCAAACCACACACAACTATTGAAAAAGCTTGTATACATCAACATATACTAAGTAATTTTTTATTTCCAGGAAACATGTCAGAGAGATAGAAGTTACTTCTATAGTTAACATTCACTGTTTTTGTCCTTCGTATCAAAGTCCTCAAATTTCTTAAATGACATTTTTATATATCTTAAACTTCATGAATTGCTTATAGCCAAAAAAGATACTGAAATATTAACATATAGTGCTCAATTCTTCCAATTTCCATGTCTTTATAGTATCTTTAAGATTATTTATATCACACTGGAGAGTTTTGCAATGTTTCATCTTGGCTACATCTCCCTAAATTTCTCAATGCCACAATGACTTATCCATATGGAACCAAACTCTAACTTCCATGGAAACCTAACAGAAATACCAAAGCCAATCAGGAGAAACAATTTTTCAACCCTAACCTAATTTCTAAAACATTTCCTCAAAATATCAGATTTTAAAGGCAGCTAATTATGCAGATATATTTCACAATATCCTCTCATGTTCTAAGTTGCTGTGCCCTTGCTAAACATCACATGTAGCAACAGAAAGAATATTGATGAGCAGTAGACATAGTCCTCAGAAATCTACTCAATACTCTGATAAATATTACTTTAATGGCCAGAGAAACCAAATGATCAATATATTTAATATCTCTTCTTCTGATTAAGCAGAAGCTGTATTGGAATCTTTATAGGTAAGATTGAGTTTAAAAAACAAATTGTGAGGTTGATCAATATTA